GGGTGGATGAATGGATGGATGGATGGATGGATGGATGGATGGATGGATGGATGGATGGATGGATGGATGGGTAGATGGGTGGGTGGCTGGATGGATGGATGGGTGGGTGGGGGGATGGGTGGATGAATGGATTGGTGGGTGGATGGCTGTTTGGATGGGTAGATGGGTGGGTGGCTGGATTCCCTGCTATGGTGAACTCTGATCAGTTCTGATCAGCGGGAAGCACAAACTCAGAGTTTACTGACCCTGGTTTCTGTAGCAGGGCCCTGGTGGAGTTTCTTGTTCGTCATTTTTGAGCTCGAGTACATTTGTAAATGTACCACAGTGACCTCTCCTCTGTAAATAACTGAACAGTAAATACAGGTGTGGCATGGTTTGAGTAAATGCTTGCACAAGTTGTGAGTATGGGCGGAGCTCCTGACAAAGCGCTGCGATGTAATCCTGAATAAAAATGACCTTTTTCCTATCATCTGTCTTTTCTCTGAGAGTTTGGTTACATAAATACGTTTTCTGATAAATAGAATTGTTAGTTGCTATACGTAATTACACACAAAACAATATGGACACAAAACACGTGAAATGTTTTTACTTTATAGGCGTGTACACATACATGTGTTCTTCAGCATTTCAGAATTAAACAGTAAAACATTTTGAACCCACATAGAAAAGCCAAGTTACTCTTATTTATTTTTCTTCTCCACCTGATCTCCAGTGCACGACTCGACCGTTCTGGACCAACCACACAAAGTAATAAAAGACCGTTATTCAACACGTATTCCTTGAAACAGGAATAATTGGCATCTTTTATGAAAAAAAGTTTCTTATATTAAATGTAGCCAGCAGCTGTCATTACAAGACAAACACATTGAAAAACCAAACACACTCTGTCCTCGTGTCAGTGAGCATCTTAGGCAGTGTTGTGCAGAGTGATTTATTACAACTAATGAACAAAAATGACTAAAGATGTTTCCCGTTTCACTTAAATATTCAACAAGACACTAATTATTCAGATGAGTCTCATTTTAGACTCTGAGAAAACAACAGTGCACCGCGTATTTAAAAATATATTACAGTCATAGAAATACAAACTAATAAAAAGGGATAATGTGCTTAATATCATACTTGCCTGTACCATTTGTGAAGACACAAGTTAATATATGAACATACAGTGAAAATGTTGGTGTTTAAGTCTGTTGACCAAAGCAGTGAAACTTCACAGTTGAGTGAGATTACAGATACAAGCTGACGACATCGTGTCGCTCCAAACACACGGAGGCTGTGATTGGATCGAACGCCCAAGAACCAAAATGTAAACTCAAGGTTGAACGAGAAGCAGGAGGAAAAATCAAAATAACACAAAACGACATTGACCTTGCACTTCCAAAACAGTAGAAAAATAGAAATGTTCTGATCCAGAGGTCATTCAATAAATAACATATACAAGTGTTTGACTGAAGAAGGTGGCGCCATTCTGACGTTTCTACAACTCATCTTTGGGGTTGATGTTAAGACCTTGACCGAACACATGCTGCGTGTCCAGGGCCTGGACCACCTCGTCCGCCTGCAGTCGCTCCTGTAGCAGGAAACAGTTTGTCCAACACATTTATTAAACAGCACAAATTCAGTGAGATTTTTTTGTGTTTGTACATTTTTGGTTAAAACATTCTTCCTTTCCAAACGGTCCCAGTGATTTCTACCAGTATAACCAGTATCACACAGGATTACTTTTCATAATAAGTTGTTCTACTGTTGAGACTTTAATACAGCAGCATGTAATTAAGTACACAGTGATCACTGGCACATGACTCCTGCCTCTTAAGAGGTCCTGACATATCGACAGAACACCTGAACCTTTTCTTGATAGAACGACAACAAAGTGCACGAAACAAAGCAGGTGTCCAGCACTGAATCCTCTAACAGCGTCCTCCATTAGAAACTAAGGTAGTTTTTATTCTACCAACTGAGTAACAATGTGACACTGTTACAGTGTAACCAGTTACTTCTCTCAGTTTATTCTGCAAAGACGGTAACTAGACACTCCAACAGCAAATGTAGACAAAGAAGCTACGTTTTACCAGTTCTCTGTAGAGTGGGTTCAGGGTGAACCAGAGAGCCACAGCACACCTCTGTCCACTCGTAACGGCCTTCACGCCGTGTGGATTTTCCCCTCCTGATGAGAAACCTACCATTCTGCCACACTTTGGTTTCACTGATGCCTGAAGGGGACGACAGAAGGACAGATGTGAGGCTACGATGATCTTGTGATGTGAGCACAAAGCTGAAGATAAACCGTGACACTTAAAAATCATCAACTTCACTCATTATTAGGATTTTAAAGTAAATATTATGTTCATGAGTTTTTGGGTTTCCAACGGTCCAGATCCTGCACACCATGCTGGGATATTCCAGCTTTCCAGCCATCAACTCTGTGAAACACCTTGTTGGTGCAAAAATACTCATGCTTGTCAGACTATGTTAGCATTTTAGACTCAGCTGAAAAAAAAGGGCAACAATGTGTCCTTTGGCTGGTTTCAATTTAAAATGAGTTCCTTGCCAGGTTGTCTTTGAATGATTAATGTGTTAAATGGCTTAAACAAAAAAACATTCCTCTAAAAACTAGTGACAAAGCAGCCTGAAGAACTACTGCTCAAGAACATTTAACATGAACTTACAAATAAACGTGTTTGGAAGCAAAACAAATAAAAGCTATGAAATCATCTTTGCTGGGCAAACTTCTCACCGTGACGGTTTTGGCATCCATTTCTGTAAATATGAACTCCCCTCCTTCAAAGTCGGCATTTAGATATAACAGTGCACTGAAACAAAGAAGGACATTGAAGCAGGAACCTCTCACAATATAAAACAAACCTCACAAACACTTTAGTCTGGATTAGGGTTGCCAACTCCCTGAAAAATAAATAAGGGACACCTCGTGGCCAGGGCCGGGCGACCCAGTTGTCTTCACCCTTCCCAGTGTGGTGAATTTTCTAGCTCTTTTTTTGTGTGTGAAATAATTTTTTTAACCATTTGACTTGAAGTTGATTTAAGTAGATGCA